CTTGGGCTTAATTGTAAAGTTCAATTATTCTTTTTACTAAATGATATTTTGGATTGGGCCTGTTTTTGGGTTGGGCTTATTTAAATGGGTTTCACAAATGGGTGGTTGGTATTTTAATTTAAATTAAAATTAGTTTTTTGAATTTAAATTAAAACCACTTTTTAGTTTTTTTCTAAAGGGTTGCATCTTTTTATGAACCATTATAACCCATGGTTGCACCCACCCAAAAAGGCACTTTACTACCTATAAATACCCCCACTTGGATCATTTGCAAATCACTCCAATTCATAATCCTTTTCTCTAATTCTGAATTTTCTCCTTCCTCTCTCTTCTTCTATAAGTGTCTGTGTGTTCAAGTCCTAGTCTTTGGGTTCGAGCCTTAGTCAGTGACTTCGAGTCCGAGTTTGAGTCAGAGAGTACTACACCAAGCCGGTTTGTCTATTCCTTTGGTTTGCAGTGCTACTACCGAAGGAAGACAAGTCGTTGTATCATGGGAGATAGACGCCACTAAGTCCGTTAGCACCATAGCGGAGCAAATCTATCTTAAAGACAGAATCAAATTCTAGCCTCGACTTTTAATCAGGTTCATTTATTTTATAGTTTTTATTTGATTATATTAAATTATATATTATAAGAAATTATATATATAGATTATTATTTTATAATAATTATTATATATATACACATTATATATATATATACACACACACACACATATTTACATTATTTGTAATATTTGGTAGTTGCAACATAACTAGTTACAGTAAATCGTCACAACGATTCATCGAAACCCTATCAAACTATAATTTTCATAGTTTGTTTATACATTATATCTTAATCCTTAAATTCCATATCTGGAAGTTTTGGGTCTACATTGAAAAAAAGTTGCCTCATCAATTGTCTCGGGATTTTGTTTTGTACAAAATTTTGGTTTGGATGAATGTAACTTCTTCTTTGGTATCCATACATATCATGTTAGACATATCAACATAAATTTTTAACATTTATGTACTTAATCGATTGTGAGGGATGGTTGTAAGTGAAACAATACCATCATATTTTAGTTTGGGTCACAGATGTTGATTCGCCATATATATATGTCTATGTCTTTTGAATTTTAATCAAAATTCATGTCTTATGGAGTTGGAGTTGATAGTCACGTCTTTTGGGTTTAAACCAAAAAAACATATCTTTTGGATTTGAACCAATAGGCACATCTCTGCACTTGCTGATAATGCGTGTTGCATGCACGGGTTTATGGTCTATGTACCAAGAGTTATGCGCATGGTATTCTATAGGTGTTTTGCTATAAACTCATAGCAAACTCAATTAGAGTATGCACGATTCTAGTAGAAATAATTACATGACAGACATAAGATTCATAATTCATTTTTTGTCCTGAAATTCTTTATTTTATAGCATGTATAAATTTTAAGGCTTGAGACCTGATTTAGTACTTTAATAATTTTAATAAATATGCCATTTTTCTATATCTGTTATCATCACTAGTTGAATGTTTTATATCTTTAATGATATACATGGCATAGTCAATGATTAATTTACTGTTTCATAGCATATAAGTTTATGAAATAATACATGTTATTGAAATTATATACATAATTATGCATGTGACTCATGTCATAAATTGTTACAAATTATTGCATAATATGTATATGTATATGTTTTGATTCATTCGAAAAAATTGAATCATATTTGTAATTCTAAGCACAAGTGTCATTAACTTTGATTGAGTGTTTAGTCACCAAAGTGGCACACTCGTGAAAATTTTAATGATATTTGTAACTAGTGGCAAAATTATTATCTTGTTAAAGTTAAAGGATTGTGTTGGTGTTTAGTAGAGACGAGTAATGATCAAGCCCAAAGGTGGGTTATAGAGTTTGTCCAACAAAGTGGATTGAGGTAATTAGTGTAGAAAACATAACTGATGACCCACTATGTCCAAAGGAGTATAAGTTGTTATTGTGTTTTCTATGATTAATTAGCTTCAAAGGTGAAAGTTATTTTACCAGTGGGAGACTAATATATGATAATTTTGGCCCAAAGGAAAGATTATTATATGTTATGTTGATCTTATTCAAAGTTAATTGTTTTGAGACATTATTTAATTAACTCTAAAAAGTTTAGTTATCCTTCCCATCAATTAAACTGTAAATGTGTGGCTTTAATTATTCTCAAAAGTCAGTGGGAGTAAAATTCATATTTGTGTTAAATGTAAATGATAGATGTGGCATTATTTTATATGAGATTAAACAATTTGTCTCAAACATTTAAGATAAAAATGTTGGTGAAGCCTTTTTATTGACATTAAGTTTCACCTAAATGAATCTTGTGAAATTCTTGGATTCTCACAAAGAACCTACTTAGATAAAGTTCTGAAAGTATTTGACATATAACGCTGTAGAGGTAGAATTGCACCCATTGTAAAAGTTGAGAAATTTGGTAATCTAATTACCAAGAAAATATCTATAGCAGTATTAGGTAAAATACCTTTTCTACGGAATCTATTGTATGTTCATATTTTGCATATGGTTAATTATAATATATCATTTGCTATCGTAAAGTTAGACAGATATCACGGTGATCCTAGTTTGGATCTATAGTAAGCGGAAAAGAAATTTATAAGGTATCTACAAAGGATTAAGATCCATATGTTTTATAATAAGACTGATAGGTTTGGGGTGGTGGAAAAACAAACTTTGCTGGTTGTCAGGACAGTATACAAATCCACTTCAAGTATTGTTTTACTATTATGATAAGTGATAGAAGCGGATTCTATTTACATGTTATAAGGCCACGTTTCATGCATTATAAAATACCAGTTTTGGACTTCAGGTCAATAATTTCGCTACATTCTTGTATTAAAGGAACAACAAGAGTTTTAGTTGGTCTAAAATATGGCTGTTAATACTTTATTGTGAAATAAAGGTTTCAGAACCAACTAATGTCTGATTGATCACATGATACACAACAAAAGATTGTTGATCCCATGACTAAGGGTTTGCCGCTAATGTTGTACAGTAAGCATGCATATTTCTCTTTGACAATATTAATTTACTTGGTTAGTGGGAGGTTGTATTTAGCTCAGGTAAAGATAGTTTTATTTTGTGATTACAGTTATTATCCTCATTTATTAGATTTTCCATATTAGTGCACATGTGTATGGAAAAATTTGTGATTTAAGTATCCTGTTTTGAGACACGGTAGGACCGATGCATGGAATGAATATTTTATTAAAATATTTTCACATATTGTATGTATGTGACTTTGGAGCTGAGTTTGTTAGTATGAGTGACCATTGATGTCTTATATCATTAATGATATAATGATGCCCTTGATCCCATATTATTAGACTCGAAAGTACTCCAAATTGAATGGAAGAGGTGTTTCTTATAAATATATGGATTAACGTTTGGAGTACACTTAATGATCATTTTGACCTTGAAGTGATCAAAATTAATTATTGTTGGACTAAGTGGGAGAATATAAGTAAATTAGTAGTCTATCAATAATTAATTAAATATATTGTTTATATGCATATAAGAGAGGTTGCACCCTTAGAATGAATAGTCACATATAAAGAGTTGTGTCGGTTGATAGAACCAACATAACTCTTCACGTATGAATAAAACGGTCCCAACCCTCAGTATATATATGCGTAAAAGGCCCTAGAGTCCATGATCTGGTTGTGCAGACATAGGAAAGGGTTGAAAATCGTTTTCGTTGTAGTTCTCTCCAAACTAAGTTTTTATATCTAGTATGTCTTCTCAACAAAGTGTATGCATTAGAGCCATGAATTCTATTCATGTTAGAAATTTCTTACACTGGACTCAAAGTGAAATCCGTTTATCTTTCAGGTCCATTTCTTCCCCATTTTGACATTGAAAGTCAAAAGGTAAAGAGACCAATAATGAATATCAACATTGTGATTTTGGATTGTTTTAAAAAATGCAATTTCGGCGCCGACGATTTTGAACCATAAACTGACATGGCCCACAAACTTAGCTAGTAAGCTGTAAGCAACTCCCATCTTTGAATAAAGCAAAAATCAATTATTATCTCAATAATTCCCCGGAATACTTCTTTTTGATTCACACATATGAATCCATGGGAAATCAATTTGCTTTTATTTATCAATGAGAAGTCTGCGGTGCCTATAAATTGATTTTATGAAGACGTGTGCTCAACTACCATTTTGTTGTTTGAATTGTAATGTGATAATTCTCATGTCATGCAATTGAACGAGCTAATCCTGTTATACCGCATCGAACGGATCTCAGCACTTGTACGTGTTCACAAGTGTGAATTGAAAAATCCGATTTGGTACAACATGGACTCCACTCCATATTAAGGTGGGTTAGTATAAAAGTTTAGAATCCACGTGAATGCGCAAATAAAATTATTTATTCACTGAAGAAATACAAGCTTTCATGAGTAAAATAGTTAAATTGCATATTAGACACGTTTATCCTTTGTTTAATCTTTTTTCTTTTTTCCTCTTCTTTTTCCTGGATTTTTTAATAGGCAAAATACACACACGCTTTGTTCCAATTACTTAAAAACATCTAAGTTTTTTTTAGCAATTTGTCAATTGAATGTTTTGGAGGACTAAATACTCCAGTATTTTTGGCCCTTGATTGTTTGTCTTAATTAATTATTTTTTGGTCTAGCTCCAGTTCCTTTGTGAAATTATGTTGAGATTGTTACTCTTGGATTTGTAACAGAAGAAGATATATTACAACACTGTGTCATTTTTCATGGAAAAACACACAACAATGCAGATCCACGTCCATGAAAATGCAAGTTCAAAACGAAGGGCATTTAAGTCATTTAATTTGCGATAATTAAATCACAAGATTGAGACTTGACTGATTTTTCTGCTGCAAAATAACTTGGAATCAATTTCAAGGTCATAGATGTGTATACTGTATATGCGTTCCAAGAATTATATAAAAACAATTTGGTCTTACAAATGCCAAATATAGGAAAAGCAACAACCTATAATACAAATATACTTTGAACATGAAGATTCAATCCCCGTACAACATCTTACGCAAACCAGTGGACAGCCATGTGTGAGAAGAAATCTAGCTTAATCCAATCAATCCTACAGAGACCATAGAATGATATCTGGCAACAACATATACCGTCAAACTATACGTCGAATAACAGACATTGGATCGACCGACTATTGTTTAAAGTAGCCACTCTGGTGGGAAGGAGGATATGCAGAAGGAACGTTGTAAGGAGGTCGAGGAAAAGATCTGGGTTACTGTGGCTGCGTATTGTAGTATGGACCACGCCACCCAAGATAAGCAGGTTGGCTGTACTCATGGCCGACTGCTGGTTGCTGTTGGTGCTGCGGTGGTGGATACGGAGGACCTGCAGCTGGCACATGTTAAGGAGGCGGCGGGGGCTGTGAAGAGCCATAAGTGGGAGGGGGGTGAGCATATCCAGGCATTGTTGGCTGCTCGGTGGGCTGGTAGTAAGGTGGTGGTGCTTGGGGAAGAGGAGGCGGCACGTTCCTGTGTCGGTTTGCTGTTGGGAATTGGATCTTTGATTTTGATAAGGCTGTCCAGCTGTAGGGTAGTTGTAAGCACCTGTGTTCTTACCATCCTGGAAATTGAGGCCTGTATGCTTCTGGTCATTACAAAATCACTGCACTGCTGCTTTACGTTTGTGATGGCATCTTGTTTGACAAAGGCAAATGTAAATCAATTCATGTTTAATGACATCGTTAAAAAGTCCTGACATATGAAAAATAAAATTTGATAATTTCAAGCATACAAACGAGAAAAATGTAAACTGTAACAATAATAACAAGGCACTAAATCAGAGAATCCAAAAGAAGGTATGCTATTATTTAACTTAATAATTTTTTTATTTTGCAAAATCTAGTCACTAAGGTTAGCAATAAGAAATTTCATACCTGAAGAGTAACATAGAACTTCAGTCCCTCACTGATGTTCTCTTAAATTTCGCAGAACTTAGCTATGGCAGCTTCGATCTGCTAGTAGCTCTTCTCTCGAGATGCTAAGAAATTGAAGTAAAAGCATACAAAGAATGTCAAAAAGAGGGGCACGCTCCATGAGTGGAAAACAGATGCTGGAAGCATCAACAGAACCGAGTAATATTTTAGGATGTAACTGAAAAAAACCCACATCAATGTAGAGATTCAGCCAAATTGGAGAAGCTCTTGAGCTTATGGTATCACTAATATTTATAGTAGTAGACACAACAAAAAGTTGTCAAAACTAAACAAAATATAACAAAAATTCAATTTTCAGATCTCACTTGGCAACCAGCCACCATGTTATGGACATGAAGGGAAGCAAGAAAGCATTAGCACTAGAATACTAATTATATATAATTAAATGTGTACGCTGATAACTGTAGATTGATTAAGAGATGAGATAGTTACCAGCTCATAGAACTTGTCTAGCCAGCTAAACCTGTGAGCTCACTAGCTTGAACTAAGCCAATGTGAACCACACACAAATGCACAAAAAAGGGACCTTTAATGTGACTATTTTTTGCTCTATTCTAAGGACAAAACCGGCAATCAGATAAGTGAGTGTAATGCGATTCGCACTTGCCAACAAAAAACAGGCTCCAATACCTACTGATCCATACTGTAGAACATAAGACGCCTGCTGATGCATGGTACAAATACAGGATACCAATCACATAAACTAGTAAGACCACAAATAAAAGAGGCCTAGTGAGACCATTCCTAATCACACAATCAAGAAAAGAATAGAAGAAAAATACAACCATCCATGAACAACAAATGAATAACTGAACAAAAATGAATAGATAACAGCACTCAATCTACAATAAACAAAACCTACCTTTATAATCTTCAAGATTGAATATAGCAGCAAAGTCGTCTTTTGAGCCTGTAAACAGGAATAAGATCATTTTAGGAATAATAAGTTTTTTAAGAGACATGTTTTTAATGTATAACAGATCAAAAATTACCATTTGAGTCCAAATTCTATTAATCAAGGCAGAAAATGAATGAATAACAGCAACTAAGAGAAATCCTGAAGAGGCAATGAAATTAAATTGGAAAAGGTGCCTCTTCCTTTCAACACTAATGACAGTGGCAAACCATCACACAACTCTTCCTATGCCTAGTGCAATAGGAAAAGGGTCTCTTAATACCAGTTCCTATATTTACTTCTAAAGGTGATACCCCAATTCTACCGATCAATTAATAAATAAATAGATAAGGATTTAAGCTAACCTCAAAACAGAAGCAGTCTTTAAAGAAACAATAAATAAAGAAGGTGAAAAATTAAGTTTCAAAGTGAATCTCCTTCCTATCAAATGTCCCTTCCCCTCAGGAAGTAATAAAATTTAGAGAGAGACATTGGGGACGGGGGGAAAATATCTAATTGTGTTCCCTATCGTACGGCACCACCCCACTCAAAAGTGGGGGAAAAAGATGCATAGAGACACAAAATAATCTACAACCGTGTATGATGGAAAAAGTAATAGGTCCTTCAACTCCCACCAGTTCCGCAGAATTTATTAGCAGAGCCATTCACTCGAAGTATCAAATTCATCATAAACAATCATACTTCACAATAATAACCATGCAAGGCAATAATAACATATACCTGAATTTGTATCAATAATTGTTCTTGTGCCTCAATATTCTGCCCAATTTCTTCGCAAATGTGATCATACTTCGCTATCTCCTTTCTAAAAAGATCCTCATAAGAGCCCGTGGAAGTCATCAACTTTGGCAAGATATCATCCTGAAACCAAACATATGGTAAGCTTAACCAACTGCGCGCTAAAAGAAAAGGCAGCAGTTGCAAATGAAATAATGCTCAAATTGAACATTTTATAAGCATGATGATTTTATTCCATCCAATGTAAAAGTGATGCAGCAAAGCAGGAAAAACATGATGATCTCAACGGTTTATTTGTGAAAGGCAATCTTTGAAACGATATGACAAGGAGACGCCTAAAATTAAATCAACCAGATGTCATTTCATTCTGCCTGTTGTTTTGGATAGCCATGATGATTGAGATGATGTCCAAGCTCAGGAAGAGGCTTGATTGCAGGTCGACCCCACCGCACCCCGAGAAAGAAGGGGGGGGGGGGGGGGAGGAGGGGACCCACACAATTTGTCCCACATTTAAATGACAAATATCTCTATCCTGTACAGAACAGATATCGAGCTGATCAATTTCCAATAATGTCTTTGAAGATTAATTTTTAAGTTATACAGAAAAAAAAAAAAAAAAAAAAAAAATCTCAAAAAATGCACAACACTAATTTATGAAAATATTTAACATTCATCATTCTAGCAGAAGCTAACAACATTTAAGATCCTGATGGACGCATGACCACGTTTTTACAAAAGGGGGAAAAAGCAAAAAATATATATAATCATTACATGAGATTCTGATAACTGGTACGAACCTTTTGAACATTAATTATTTTCAACTAGCAGATAACTGTATCAAATTCAAAATTATTTTGCAAATTTGGTATCAAAAACAAATTACTAACCGACTAAGAATTTTGGATCCTTACTTGCGTTCACTCAGTAATATACTCCAGATGGATGCATAGTTCATAAAAAAAAACATTCACTCCACAATTATTTGAAGAAGTATAATTGCGCTCCACTTTTGAGGGGTAATTTTGCCATTTCATTTATTAATCAAGTGGAGAAAATGGAGTGTTAATATCATCTCCCAAACAGAAAAATACATAAAAAATAAAAAATAAAAATAAAAATAAATATTATCTCCATGTATTTGATGTATTTATTAATGTTGAAACAAATCTCATCATTTCATAAAAATTCATGTTTAGCTACACACAAAGATTGGTCCTATAAGGCATATATCATTAATGACCAGTCATCAAACTTTAATCTCCATCAAACAAGACAAAATAACATAACCAATTCAATACATAAAACATACCCGACGGCGATCAAGGATTGACATGAGAGCTGTATGATCTCTCACTGAACGCTCAATACGGGCATCACTTTCTGCAGCTTGCTTCAAATTTGCTGCAAATCTATTTAACCTATCCTGCAAGTTCTTTGTTGAAGTACTGGACTGTGGCCTAGTCCACCGTGTACCAAATTGGCTCCTAAGCTGAGCATCTTCTCTCGCTTCTTTCTGCAAGAGTTCCTCCGTCTGGACCAGCAATTCCTGATTCACCCTCTTCAAATCTCTAACTTGCTGCAGCTCAGCTTCCAAGCCAGATAGGCCCCCACAAATTTGCACTGCCTCAACATCTTCTTTAAGAGTTGTTGGAAGGGTGAAGTTCCCTTCCAAAGCAAGAATTGAATCAGATAAGTCCATTTCCTTGAGCCTCACTCGGGTTAGCTCACTCCCTTGTTGCAATTTCTCAGCTGTGTTCGGATAATGTCATCAACCATTTCAGTGAAAGAGCTTTTGCACTGCTGTCAGCACCAAGACTTGAAAACATCTTCTCCTTGCTTGCATCCAACATCTTCTCCTCCATAGCTCTCTCCAGGTTTCGATTTACAGTGGCTTCAAACTTTTTCATTGCATCCAAAAGCTGCTGTGCGTCCCCCTTTGAGGATGACTTCTTTGCCTCAGATAAAGAACAAATTCCACTCTTCAAGCGGGCAATTTCCTCAGCAGTCTCTTCTTCTTTCTCATGCAACTCTAAACTATATCTATAGCACGCCTCTGCATAAAACAAGGCCGCCTTGAGCTGCACATGAGTTATCCATGCCCTGTCAAAATGCTGGCTGACAGGTGCAAAATTCAGCGCTGCCAAAGCTTCCTCATAATAGAGTCCAACCTGTGATCCCACCATTTTTAAAGCATTTTGGATATAATTGAATTTAGGTTATAACCAAACAAAAATCATATAAATGAATGAAATCATAACTGGAAACGGAATCACTTGTGCCATACAACAAAAAGACTACAAAAATGCTAAACTTAACATTTAGGATTCATTTTGCATTTCTTATAAGAGTCATTCTTGGTGTCCCATGAAACCATGAATTCTATTAAACAAATCTTGGGATATTATTACTTTCACCACAAATTCCAAATCTTTTGTCACAGTTCAGCTAAGCAACAACTTTTACAACAGTAATCAAGGGGCAAAATAATGTTATATGACTGTGAGACCATTTATATGGATTCCAGGGAAAAGTCACGGATTGTACAGCAAATTTGTGTGTAATCATCATATTTCGTCACATAGTATGGTATAAATTCACGCTTCCAGTAAAATGCACAACGAATTTGTTACAATCCACCCAATATTTGGGTTCACAAGCTGAAGAAAATTTAAAACAAATAACAGACTACAATACAAAACAATAAGTACTAACCTGCCTATAGATTTTTGCACAGAGACCAGGGGTGCTTCCCTTGGCAATTGTATTCTCAAACACACATTCCTGTGCTTGCGCCAGCATAAGCCTCTCCAACATCCCCGCACACTCAACCGAAACATCGACAGTCGTGGATTCTAACCACCAAAGATCATGAACAATATATTATTAAGAAGAAACGATAAGAAACTATATGTGCAAAGTGGACAAGATGTCCAACCACTAAAGCAAGATAAACTAGTCAAAAGCATAACTCTCACCCCATGTCCAGCTACAAGAAAAACCCAAAAACCCCACAATCAAGGGAAGCATTTGATGACCTCTACACATCCAACAACCCAAAAACCCCATAATCAAGGAAAGGGAGGCATTTGATGACCTCTAGCAATTCCAAGGGATGTAAGTATGTACGGTGTACCCCCTTCTAAGCTAAGAAATCCATCACGCCAATGCATCCATTAAGATTTCTTCTATATCATAATCAAATGCCTCAAGGATGATACCAAAAAATAAAAAGGAAAAAGGAAAAAGACAAAAAGAAAAAGGCTGCCTTAATCAATAAATAGATATAAATCGATTCCATTTTTGGATTAAAGTAAATGATTTATAGGCGCCAAAGGGTCACGCCCCATGCACATCAATTCAGAGTGATAAGTATGGCATAATACAAGTTGGCAGCTTACCAATATTTTTGTGCCATCTCATCATCTTATTCAAAATTCTAAATATCATATGCATCAATTAAAACCCACCCCTTCATGCATAAAATTTTGCCCTATCTATCTCGCAACTCCAAATTTGGGTTTGGGACAGCTTTGGTTGTTATTTTTCATCTGGAACAGGGTCAAGGAAGGCGTTTGACAAGTTATCATGGTGGTTTGATCAGAGATGGTATCAGGGTGGGCCGGTGCTGGTGGTTTGTCAGTGGCCTCCCCCCCTCTCTCTCCTCTCTACACATGCACACACCTATATGAAGAAAGTGCAGAAAGAAATCACATATGCTTACAAAATATCTTGGAATAAAATCTCACCACCAATGGGTTCTATAGGATTCTCCGCATCAAAAAAACATAGGTGTGACATTGAGACTCTGCTTATGACAGCATTTTTATATGTATGCGCTTGAATGTCAGCCACTGTTTTTCATTTTTCTTGTAGTGACGATAGGAGATTTTCATGGTTTTCACGCTATACAACGTTTGCCAGGTATACAACGTTTATATCCAAGCTTGCCAATAACAAAATAGTTTTACAATGACATTAAAATCGCTTAAGGTAGGCTTCGCTTAGCCTTTGATTACAGCGGTTAATGGTATTGGCACCCTCAATCTGTCATAACAGCATTTAAACTTTGCATCCACATTAGATGGAGGTGTCTTCAATTAAGGATGTAGACTTATATTTCTAAGACTGCCAATCAAAGTATTTAGACTTCTAAATTATGAAGAAAAATATATATATTTAGACTTCTATGAAAATAAGCAAATATATGTATGTGAAGTTGCAAAATAAAAACATAGTCTGTATAAACCACTTGAATTACATACCTTTCAATGGGTATAAGCTTTCCACATGGCTGGTGAAGATGCAGTGAGATGATGACACCAATTTTGATAAGTTGGGGACATGTCTTGTTGTTTCCGTTTTCAGATCATAATAAAAGATCTTTGATTTGCGAAATTGAAATAAAATCTCATCTCCAATACTACAAATCGGTTTTATAGGATTTTTCGCATCGGAAAACATAGGTGGGACATTGAGAGAGTGCTTATTCCAGAGTTGATTGTGATGGTCTTCTAGTATCCAAATTTCAGAGACCTTAGAATTAATGAGAGCCAAACGATCTCTTACTTGTATTGTGAAAAAACAATCTCTGGTGGCGGCTCCTGGTGGAAGTGGCATGATTTCGAAACTCTCATCCCCAACTTGGGAAGACAGTATCACATATTTGCCTAAGCGGTTACCAATATTACCTAAACAATATACAATATCATTGATACAACAGCCTCTATTCCTCTCATACAAGAACATGTTTACTTGACTATTAACAGAAGACTGATCAATATCTCTCCAAGTGGAGGCAGCGCCGCCCTGGCTGAGGGTCAAAACCTTGAACTGGGTGTGGGCCACATCATCTTCAGGATTATAAACTTCGGTTATGTTGAGGACTTTGTGTTTCCCGCCGGAAGCAGCTGGATCAAACCCTAAAAGGTTGAAGGATACAGCTCTGAATGAATTGTCTACTACTGAGAAGCCAAAAGTTGGACTCCTTATCCTAATGGGTGGTATTTCATGGATTTCTCTGGTGCTAGGGTTCCATATGCAGCTCTGAAAACAGATCAAGCCCTTGACGGAATACAAAGGAGAAGGCAAAAACTCTGCTGTGTCTGGAAGTGATTCAAGTGATTGAAGGGGAAGGACTGACCTGCCTTCTGGATCTGTGGAGTAGAATTTGTTATCCACCTCATATATTGGTAATTTCACGAATAGAAGGTTGATGCCACTGGGCCGATTGATTGACCGATTATGGTGGGATTCAATGAAGAGTGGATCATTAATTATGGAGAGCCAGAGTTTGGAAACACACCTGAATCTCAATAATATTTTCGCAGGAATTTCTTTCAGTATCCCAAAGATAATCTCTTGCGGAAGAGAAACCCCATTATTTTCATGCGGAAGAGAAACCCCATTGTGTTGCAATTTCTCAGCTTGTGTTTGGATAATGTCATCAACCATTTCAGTGTATCTAGAAAGAGCATTTGCACTGCTGTCAGGAACAAGACTTGAAAACATCTTCTCCTTGCTTGCATCCAACATCTTCTCCTCCATAGCTCTCTCCAGGTTTCGATTTACAGTGGCTTCCAACTTATTCATTGCATCCAAAAGCTGCTGTGCATCCACCTTTGAGGATGACTTCTTTGCCTCAGATAAAGCACCAATTCCACTCTTCAAGCATGCAATTTCCTCAGCAGTCTCTTCTTCTTTCTCATGCAACTCTAAACTATATCTATAGCATGCCTCGGCATAAAACAAGGCCGCCTTGAGCTGCACATGAGTTATCCATGCCTTGTCAAAATGCTGGCTGACAGGTGCAACATTCAGCACTGCCAAAGCTTCCTCATAATAGAGTCCAACCTCTGATCACACCATTTTGAAAGTATTTTGGATATAATTTAATTTAGGTTATAACCAAACAAAAATCATATAAATGAATGAAATCATAACTGGGAACGGAATCACTTGTAACATACAACAAAAAGACTACAAAAATGCTAAACTTATCATTTAGGATTCATTTTGCATTTCTTATAAGAGTCATTCTTGGTTTCCCATGAAACAATGAATTCAATTAAACAAATCTTGGGATAATATTACTTTCACCACAAATTCCAAATCTTTTGTCACAGTTCAGCTAAGCAACAACTTTTACAACAGTAATCAAGGGGCAAATAATGTTATATGACCATGAGACCATTTATGTGGATTCCAGGGAAAACTCACGGATTGTTACAGAAAATTTGTGTAGTCATCATATTTCATCACATAGTACGGTATAAATTCACGCTTCCAGTAAAATGCACAACGAATTTGTTACAATCCACCCAATATTTGGGTTCACAAGCTGAAGAAAATTTAAAACAAATAACAGACTACAATACAAAACAATAAGTACTAACCAGCCTATAGATTTTTGCACAGAGACCAGGGATGCTTCCCTTGGCAATTGTATTCTCAAACACACATTCCTGCGCTTGCGCCAGCATAAGCCTCTCCAACATCCCCGCACACTCAACCGAAACGTCCACAGTCGTGGATTCTAACCATCAAAGATCATGAACAATATTTTATTAAGAAGAAACGATAAGAAACTATTCTACATGTGCAAGAGTGGACAAGATGTCCAACCACTAAAACAAGATAAACTAGTCAAAAGCATAACTCTCACCCCATCTCCAGCTACAAGAAAAACCCAAAACCCCCATAATCAAGGGAAGCATTTGATGACCTCTACCACATCCAACAACCCAAAAACCCCATAATCAAGGAAAGGGAGGCATTTGATGACCTCTAGCAAATCCAAGGGATGTAAGTACGTACGGTGTACCCCCTTCTAAGCCAAGAAATTCATCACGCCAATGCATCCCATTAAGATTTCTTCTATATCAGAATAAAATGCCTCAAAGATGATACCAAAAAATAAAAAACGAAAAAGAAAAAAGAAAAGGGTTGCCTTAATCAATAAATAGATATAAATCGATTCCATTTTTGGATAAAAGTAAATGATTTAAGAAATGCAAATATTTTTGTGCCATCTCATCATCTTATTCAAATTTCTAAATATCATATGCATCAATTAAAACCCACCCCTTCATGCATAAAATTCTGCCCTAGGCCCCTATCCATCTCGCAACTTCAAATTTGGGTTTGGGACAGCTTTGGTAGTTATTTTTCATCTTGAACAGGGTCAAGGAAGGCGTTTGACAAGTTATCATGGTGGTTTGATCGGAGATGGTATCAGGGCGGTGGATATAAGGATTTAGCAGTTCAATAGAATGATAACTGAGCTGGTGGTTTGTCAGTGGCCTCCCCCTCTCTCTCTCCTCTCTACACACACACACACACACACACCCCTATATGAAGAAAGTGGAGAAAGAAATCACATATGGTTACAAAATATCTTGGAATAAAATCTCACCACGATTGGGTTCTATAGGATTCTCCACATCAAAAAAACATAGGTGTGACATTGAGACTCTGCTTATGACAGCATTTTTATATGTATGCTCTTAAATGTCAGCCACTGTTTTTCATTTTTATTGTAGTGACGATAGGAGATTTTCATGATTTTCACGCTATACAACGTTTGCCAGGTATACAACATTTATATCCAAGCTTGCCAATAACAAAATAGTTTTACAATGAAATTAAAATCGCTTAAGGTAGGCTTCGCTTAGCCTTTGATTACAGCGGTTAATGGTATTGGCACCCTCAATCTGTCATAACAGCATTCAAACTTTGCATCCACATTAGATGGAGGTGTCTTCAATTGAGGACGTAGACTTATACTTCTAAGACTGCCAATCAAAGTATTTAGACTTCTAAATTATGAAGAAAAATATATATATTTAGACTTCTATGAAAATAAACAAATATATGTATGTGAAGTTGCAAAATAAAAACATAGTCTGTATAAACCACTTGAATTACATACCCTTCAATGGGTATAAGCTTTCCACATAGCTGGTGAAGATGAGGTGAGATGATGACACCAATTTTGATAAGTTGGGGACATGTCTTGTTGTTTTCGTTTCCAGATCATAATAAAAGAACTTTGATTTGAGATATTGAATTAAAATCTCATTTCCAATACTACAAATCGGTTCTATAGGATTTTTCGCGTCGGAAAACATAGGTGGGACATTGAGAGTGTGCTTATTCCAGAGTTGCTTGTGACGGTCTTCTAGTATCCAAATTTCGGTGACCTTAGAATTAATGAGAGCCAAACGATCTCTTACTTGTATTGTGAAAAAACAATCTCTGGTGGCTCCTGGTGGAAGTGGCATGATTTCGAAACTCTCATCCCCAACTTGGAAAGACAGTATCACATATTTGCCTAAGCGGTACCCTATATTACCTAAACAATATACGATATCATTGATACAACAGCCTCTATTCCTCTTATATAAGAACGTGTCTACTTGACTATTAACAGAAGACTGATCAATATCCCTCCAAGTGGAGGCAGCGCCGCCCTCACTGAGGGTCAAAACCTTGAACTGGGTGTGGAACTCATCATCATCAGAATTATAAACTTCGGTTATGTTGAGGACTTTGTGTTTCCCGCCGGAAGCAGCTGGATCAAACCCTAAAAGGTTGAAGGATACATATTCCAATTGAGTGTCTCCTACTGCGAAGGCAAAAGTTGGACTCCTTATCCTAATGGGTGGAATTTCATGGATTTCTCTGGTGCTAGGGTTCCATATGCAGCTCTGAAAACAGATCAAGCCCTTGACGGAATACAAAGGAGAAGGCAAAAAGTCTGCCGTGTCTGGAAGTGATTCAAGTGATTGAAGGTGAAGGGCAGGTCATCTGTGGAGTAGAATTGGTTATCCACCTGATATGGTTGTACGATATCACTGATTGGAGTGACACACCAACCTATAAGCACTTTACATTCCCTTTAGTTAGGCGATGTGGGACTGTGCACCCATAGCAGCACTTCACATTCCCTTTACCCAGGCGATGTGGGACTATGCACCCGTAGCTCGCCAATGTGGTAGCCTGTCAGTGTCTCTCACACCCGCCCACGGCACACCCACACACAGGGTTATCACAGTTCTATTTTTGGGTTTTGAAATGGTTTTTTTTCAGCATTGCTTTCCATTTCTTTAAGTTATTTAGTTCCTTCTATGGTTCTTTCACTTTTTTATTTTTTTGAGGGTTATATCCCCATTGTTTGTTGTAAGTGCTTGTTGTTTTAATTATACATAGCTTGGATGTTATAGTCTGAGACACTATCTGATACTATTTGTCACGATCTTTACATCTTATGTAGATACTGTCCACTTTGTGGACTCTCCATATTCACAATTTCATATACAAAATGCATTTATACAATTAGGAGGCATCTACATATATAAATGCCAACAATCTCTTCTCTTCCCTAAGAGATTTGAAAATGTTTTATATATAATGAAATACATATGAATACACATTATTATGAGCTAGCTAGCACCACCTATACACAATAAGAGATGAAAAGTACACTATACTGCAGACAATATTTGGTAGACTAATTTAATTTATTTTCCATGATCATGAATTGAAGCCTCCGGGACATACAAGAGATCTATTTTTCATGCGGCTGGAGGCAAACCGGGACACCATTCACTGGAGTGGGGGATGAGTGATATATTATCTTCTCATTCGCAACTGCTTTCTCCAATTTAAATCTTTTCACCACATTATGCATGAAAACTAGTACTTCTAATCGAGCATACTCTTTTTCAAGGCACATCCGAGCTCCTCCACCAAAAGGTATAAAAGTGTATGGTGCAGGTCCACTTCCTTCAAACCATGACGGATCAAAATTTTCCGGATTCGGAAAGTAATTGTGGATTTTAATGTGTTGAATGTACTGTCCAAAATGTCTGCCAAAAAAATTTGATTTTGTCCAATAAATAAGCTTCCATGACTTCATCTACATATATATATATATATATATATATATGTATTTGTATGTTCATTTTTTGCATGGAAATTAAAACTTCCTTCCATCCCTTTGGAATGGTAAAGCCAGCATAGACTTATTTGATTTACCCAAAATTAAATCCGGGCTAAGTCCACGGAATTGTAGCAATCTCACTATGATAAAGAGTGAAACAAAATTAAAGAATTCAGAATGATAACCTCGACGTCTCACTATTCTTCTTATATAAGAGGCGTGAGAAATACAATATAACATATATCTATTAAGGTAATAATGACACTTTTTTAAACTAAACTCTACTTTCCATACTAGATAAAATAATACTTATTAATAATATATTTTACTCTAGTGTTATGTACTATCTAACACATCAAGTTTTGAGTATTTACCTTTAAAAAACGCACAATATCCTAGTGCAAGGGTTGTTTTACATTCTACACTTTGCAAAAAGTGTAGTGCCACGTCAGCAATTGTGCTGATGTGGCTCTACACTTGTTTTAAAAATTTTAAAGAGCTATTATGCACCATTATTTGCATTCTACACTTTATTATATACAATCACTTTTATTATTTTGGGTTAATTCCACTTACACCCGCTGAGGTTTGCTAATATGCCACTTACACCCCCTCTATGTCTCATAATTCTACCTATGTCCCTTGAGGTTTGGGTTTACGTATCGAGTTACCCCCTGCCGTTAAGTAACTGGCAATTTGTGCTGATGTCAGCAAGAAAAATGGATAGAAGGTCAATTTTGCCCTTCCAATCCTTGAAATGATTTTTTTAACCTTATTGACTATTGCAGAATTACAAAACTACCATTGACTTATTAACTCTAAAATACAACAATGCCCTTCACTTAGGCACATGTGTATATATATATATATGTGTGTGTGTGTGTGTGTGTGTGCGCGCGCGCATATATTAGTTGTGTTTGGTAATGGTTCTTAGATCAATTTATAGACATACACTTGGCTCCCTCAATGAAATACTACCTGACTCAATTCTGAGATAATATTATCATTATATTGTAAGCAATGGAAACAAGCAAACAGTTGGGTAATATTTCATTCAATTTTGCAATGAAAAAAAAAAAAATCATCTAAGGTACACTCATCTAATGGCTGAAAAAACTAGATGAAATCCTAGTACAAAAGAATAATTAATTCATTTCATTCCATCCAAGACAAAGGCCAGTGTAGTAAGCCATATAATGGCTACAAAAACATACCAACCTAATCCATAAACATAAGTTGCAAAACATATTGTTCTTTCAAGTTGCAAAAACAAACCAACACAAACACTCTAAACCCATTTCCTCTGGCTCCTAATTGGGTAAATACAGGTATGTATTTCCCTGTTTGTGGTAAACTAATTTGTGCCCATGTTCCTTTATGTGGTCCTAGTGAGGGTCCTCTTCTTTGTGCATTTGATGGACCTGCAATCCCTTTTCCTTCTTTACATTTGGAGCAACAAAACCACTTCCTCTCTTTGACTGTTACACATAACAAAAAAACATATATTAAGACATAGAAATGAATTAGTTTTCTATTAAACAAAGCCATTACAAGATACATGTTGTGTGTTTGGCCCTAATTGGGCTGCTCCTTAACTTCCTATTCCTCTTATTTGTGCATTTGTTGGACCTGTAGTCCCTTTTCCTTTCTGTACAACACTAGGAGCAACTGAACCACTTCCTCTTGATTGTCACATATAACAAAAACACATACGTTAAGACATATAAATAAATTAGTTTTTTTTACTAAACAAAACCATTACAAGATACATGTTGTGTGTTTGGCCCTGATTGGGTTGCTCCTTGACTTCTTATTCTTCTAGTTTGTGCATTTGTTGAACCTGCAATCCCTTTTCCTCTCTGTACACTTGGAGCAACAGAATCACTTCCTTTATATGACTGTCACACATAACCAAAAACATATGTTAAGACATAGAATGAATTAGTTTTCAATTAAAACAAAACCATTACAAATACCTATTGTATCCATTTTCCTTTCTGTTGTATGCTTAGCCTTGATTGAACTGCCCTTTGACTTCCTTTTCCTATTGAACTTGGAGTTGCATACTCTACTCTCTGTGATGGGACTGACCTTTTTCTACTCTGTGATGGCACTAAGCTCCCTCTTTCTCTTGCAGCTTCTTCTTCCTAACAGTAAGATATATAAGTATATTAATGATTCATTAGATAAAAAAATAATTTAAAAATAAAATAATTTGAATACCAGTTCTCTTCTAGTTGGAGCCCTTTGACAAGTCCTTTTGTTATGCTATGTCCTTTGACAAAGCATGAACCTTAGTTTGGAAGTCCTTCTGACCACACTAGTAGTTTTGTAGGGTTCATCAGCATCCCTCTTTCTGTTCTTCCTAGGCCTACCAGGTAATCTTCTAGGAGGAGGAGGCTCTAATGGTATTCCAGTATATGGCTCCCACAATTGTTTGTCAGGTATAAGATGTATAATCCCTTCATGTATCTTCATATATGTGTCAATAGTGTAAGAGGAATCACAAAAAAGTCTCAATCTTTTCTCTTTTATAACATATTGCAGCTGCTGCATGCCTACAAGGTAAGCCTGAGATTTGCCAACTAATACAGTCACATGTTCTTGTATTAAGATTAACAATATGCCTAATGTGTCATCTATGACTTCAAATCTCCCCTACAAGCAACCATCACAGCAAATGCCCTTCCCTCACTAATAACCTTGTTTAACTTCTTCTTTATGTTTAGTGTAACCAATCCTTGCCAAGTGCAACCTTGTTGGTACCTCTTGTGAATTCTTTCCATCAGTTTTGCCCTAATCCAACCTAAGCATGAAAGTAGAGGCAACATCCTAAGATCACCTACCCAATTGTTGAAGCTCTCACTTATATTGTTGGTCACATGATCATTCTTCAAATCTGGATTGAATGCATGCCTAGCCCATGATGACAACTTAAAGTAATTCATAAGCTAGTTGTAGGCTGCTCTATTTAAGTTATATATTTGGTCCATGGCCTTCTGAAAATCTACTGCATTATACGCTCTAGCAGCTTTCCAAAATTTTTGTCTTAACAGTTTAAATGAATTACATAAATGCCTACAGCACAATCTATGAGTAGCTTGAGGAATAGTTTCAATTAATGCTTCGTCAAGACCCTATCACAAATGATATAAAACAGTATATGAATTAAAAAAAAATATTATCGTAGGGTGAATAAAAAAAACAGTAAATGAATTAAAAAAACAGTAAAGTGAATAAAAAAATATTATAATGTAAAAAAACAATAAAATGCTAATCTTTTGCATGTCTGACACGAAGGTCCAAGGCTTGTCAAGTACATCTATCTCAATTACAGTGCTCAAATGCTGCAAAAAAAAAAAAAAAAAAATACCCAACTTTCTTTCCTCTCACTCTCCACTACACCAAATGCCACAAGAAATAACTCATTATTAGCATCCAAAACAATGGCTAACAATAGCACACCACCATATGGACCCTTCAAATGGCAGCCATCCAACCCCAGAAATGGTCTGCCTCCCAACTTGAATCAAGTTCTCATTGCTTAAAATGAAATGAATATTTTTCTAAATGTTGGGTTCAATGTATAATCAGGTCACCAATCGTCAAACTTAACTATACTGCCTGGATTACATTTTCTGATTTCATTTGCATACTGTGGCAATAACTCATATGAGGTAGCATGATTGCCCTCAACTTCAGCCATTGCCTTCCCCCTTGCCCTGTACAACTATAACCTTTTTGGCTCAAGTCCAAGAGCCCCTTTAATTACCCCTTTGAACCCTTTACACTCAATTCTGGATTTTCTTTAAATTTTTTACCAAACCGCTTCTTAGTTAACCACCTAGAATCTGTTTCTCCATTGTGGGAGAGCCTAACACAATCATGCTTATA